TTGAAAATTACTTGCAGTTTTAACTAAAAACTGATTTTGCAATTGAACAACATTGCAGTTTGCCATATGGACTGCATTAGTGCTTTCAAGTACTTTGCTGTAGACAAAACAAGTTTTGCTGTATTTCCGAAATTACCCTTTCATAACAAATTAGAATAAGATAGCCTCTAATTCAGCAAGTTAATCTATTTGAGTTTTATCTCCAGTTTCATGCCTGGGCTTGCCTTTTTTGTTGCTTTGTGGTGTGGTTTTTTTATAAAAATAAATAAAAAAGCACCTTAACCAGTTAGAAATTCTAGATCTGTCAGATACACTCTAGAGAGTTTCTTGATGTGGCATATACAACAGTAAAGTGCAGATTTAAAAGATTAGGATATCAGCTACTGCACTAAGTTCTTCAGAAATAACAAAATACCTCCTGTACCCAGAGAAATAAGTTGGAATTTGGCATTTTCTTTAACATTACAGTATTCAGAGGAAATTGATAAAAACGCATTTCTGTGTTCAGCGGAATTCTGCTGCAGCAAATGGTGTGCATGGCCAAACTCACATGATGGACATGCATTCTCAAAGCTGGATCAGGTAACTGCAGAAATGAACCCATAAAATAAAATCATACTAAGCACATGCAAATTGTTCTTCTCGAAGACTTAGAACCGTGACAGATTCTTTGCATTTCTCATGAAGGCAAAAAAGGCAATAGTGACAAAAAAGCCAACAGTTAAAGGAATTTGCACTTCCTACTCTAAAACCTCATTTCTGTATGAAATAAGTAGTAGAATTACTTATAATGTAAGTAACTTCAGCTGAAAACTCAAGGAGGGGTGCAAGACAACAAGGCAAAGCAGATATAGGGAACAAGAAGTTTCAGCCTAAGAAAACTGTTGCAATTTGTATAACCAACAGAAAACAGGGGATTTCAACAGGGAAATGCCAGTCTGCCATCAGAGTACTGGTACTACCAACTCTCTCTTTACTGTACTCCCCCTCTGCTAGAATGCGTCACAACAGGACAGTTGTTTTACTAGTATATGCTCCATGATATGTGTATGGGCACATAGCAGAGAGAAGATCCTCAAGGGACATAAATGGACTCCTATAAAGAGAATTAAGTAGGTTAAGTGATAATCAGATAGGCACAGTAAACCAGGCTTCGAATTCTAGCATCTTAGTTCATAGAATGCCCAGACAGGAAAAATATGTTAACAAAAGGAAAAAAAAAAAAAAAGAAAAAACACCCTTTTAATAGCTTTTCATCCTTCCTTGGTATTCAATAGTCATCACATATTCACAAAATATATTTTTTAATAGCAATTAGAACATGAAGTTAACCAAGTAGGATTAAGTAGGTCAGACTTCAGCATGACAATCTAGAGACCCGCTATGCTAAAATATTTCTTCTCTACCAAGTGTTATGGCTTCAATATCAACACGACATACATCTCTGATGCATGGTATCACTCCTAGCCACTCAGCACCTTTTTCCACAAATGACAGATAACTCGGATGATGCATGCATGGACCAACAGAGCTTAACCTGGAAAACAAAGCAGGTCCTAATCTAGTCCAAGCCAGCCAATTGCTCTCACTAAGGCCCCACTTGTGAAGCAGAGATTATGGCTCCCAGTATTACAAAAATGATATAAAGGTTTCATTAATAAGGAGCATCTCAGAAACCTTTTATGTTGATGAGTCCCCTAAGAAGTTATAAAAACAAAAGAAAACCCTTGGCGGAGTAACATGCAACCTTATTTTACACTGAAATAAGGCGGTAACCATTTTTCTGAATTATGCCCATTGTAACTAGTATGTTAATAGCCGATACTCCTCCCAAGAAAGAGTCCTTAACTGTTCTGCAAGCCAACTCTCTGCTACCACTTACTGAAAGTGAGAAAGCCATTTGCCCGTGTGGAGGACAGATACGTATTTGATTGCCAACATCGTTGCAAACAAAGGGTCTACTTTTCCATACTTCACAACAGACAACCATGTGTTACTCTACAAATTCATCTGCAAGCTTCATTACGCTCCCTCTTTTTAAAACATCTACACATTTAGTTACACGTCAGCCTAGTGTGACATTATACTTAAAAGAAAAAAAAAAATAAATTATATACTTAAGCCTCCTGAATGTTAAGACATAGTTAAAATAAAATAGCGTTAAGTGGCACACTAAAACAACAGCTTGTGTACTGATAGCCAAACGTCCCACTAATTTTGTACAATTTAAAGCCTTTTAATTCACATGTAAACCACATCCCACTGCTTCAAAACCTTCACTGGATTTCTTCCATTTGCCAAATCAGAAACTTTTACAAGGAAAGCTGGTGGTGAGGAAAGAGAAAACAACACTCCCAAAGGTCTTAGGGAGACTTTATCCCTCCAGAAGATGCAAAATTGAAGACTGCCAGCAGCAACGATAATAGCAGGGCAGAGGGTGGTAGCATGGGGACAGGAGTGGATGAGTCGGAAACGTGAAATGAGTCGGAAACATGAAGGTCAGCTGGGCCTGACAGGCACGGGAAGATGGCTGCTGATAGCACTGCTGAGAAGTGACTCTCGAGCAGCGTTAGGAGGATGGCATCGATACGCTCATCAGTCAGCAAGAAGACCACATGCATGCTCTGTCGCTGGGAGAGTGTTTCCTCCCTTTCTCTTAATCTTGATGCGGTCCCTCAGATCACATCTAAGCCAAGCTGATATTGTTTCATCTGCTAAGTGTCCTCCAGCTTCCTCTGTGGAGTCATTACCTTACATACACTGCAAGCAATGTTTAACAGTTCCTACACGCCTGATTCAGTTGAAGCCAAAAAGCCCATTGATAAGCTTTCTGATCAGTACTTCTGTAAAATATTAAGCCTTATTAGATGATGCATGTTGCAATAACTATTAGGTAGTCTGTCTCTCTTCACTGGACACTGTCTTTCGTTAGTTCATTTACTGTGTAAAAACTTTTGCACTATATACCCAGACAGGGAGATAAAGCTTATAAACCAAGAGGAAAAAACAAACTTTGAAGTAATTAAAATTTGGTTCATGATCTCAGGATTTAGATGTTCTCATCATGACAAACCTCTTCTATTGTGGGAGAAGAATAAAAGATTAAAAATTAAAGAATAGGACTCCTTCACTTTTTATTTGCTTTCAGCTGAGACTCCTGGCCCAGAAGCCAGATTTCTGCATCTGTGCTGAAGGGTAACTATCGTTCCAGCCAGGACATTTCCAAGTTGATTTTGAACAGGCTCCTCTTTCCAGGAATACTGCAGTTCTTTGGTTTTTTGTTTGGTTGGTTTTTTTGGTTTGTGGTGGTTTTTTTGGGTTTTTGTTGCATAACAACTGATTCTATTAACTTTTTAAGACAGCAGCACTGCCTACCTGTTCCTGCCTGGATACAGCCAAAACTTTCATGTTTGGTTAATCTAAAACACTGTATTTTAAATAAGCCCTGGTTTCCCAAGCATTTCCTGCAGCTAAGCACTATACAGTCAGATGTAGGTCATGATTAATGGAGTAGCAACAGGAATTATTTTTTTTTCTTTCATTAGCTGGATGGAATTTGTTGACATTAAGTAAATCAGTACTAGACCCATTTCTGCCCTAGCTTGTGCAGGGGTGTGGGGGGAAGGTACGTTGTTGGGGGGGTTTTGCTCAGGGATCACAAGATAGGGGGCAACTGAAAAAGAGCACAACTGATTTTAATTTTTAAAGATTTATCTACAAGTACATTCACACATACAGTATTTAATGTAAGCTGTTGACCATTTGTTTGAAGCATCCTCAAGAAAGAGGTAATAACACTATTTTTACTTGATGTTGAATTTTAAGGAATACAGGGTTCCTTTTGGTTTGTGGTTTTTTTTTTTTTCCAGGGGTATTCTAAAAATAGAAATAGCTGAGAATATTCTGGCCAAAAAAATTCATTCTGCACACACAGCACATCAAACATCTTGTCTTACCTTAAAATACAACTGGAAAACTCAAAACATTAAGTGTGTTTAATATATTGAATCCTTAAAGAGACAGAAATATTTACGAGCTGCCACAACTTCCTGGCAGCATACTTGCTTCTCAGTGACTCTCCTTCTCCAGACTAATGCTACGTTCTGCAAAAGCAGAAACATTTCCCAAGAGAACAGACAGGTTCAAGTTAAATTCATGTATGGCTCTTTAGGTTGTCCTCCTAAAACATACCTAAGAAAGTCTGTGACTCTTCAGGGCAAACACAAAAATGCAAAGTTGAAATTAAAGACTTCTCTCCTCTGGTTATTTATTTATTACCTTTTTAAATTAAAGCCTTAAGATGCTTTAGGAAGCAAGTTTCTCAAAATATTCCAGGGCCTGGTTCTTGTAACCTTCTGACTACACAGCCAGGCTATGTTGTGATTACAGCTGTACCGGGTTCAGCCATAAAATAAAGTATAACAACTTTTACATCATGTCTAAAGAACAAAGACAGAACCAGTCTTAAATAAATAAAATACTGAATTTATTTTAAAGATAATGAACAAGTACCAGAATTATTTAAGACTTAAAATTGCTGAGCTGAAATTCTTCATTGATTTTTTTTTATTATTTAGGTGTTAATTGATGTTAGTAAAGAATTTTCAGCGTTAGATACTATTCCACACCAGAAAAAATAAATTACAGGCTCTGAGATCCCTACCATGCTATCACAAATACAATCACCAAGTAAAACTAAGAAACTGGTAAATGCACCTATCATGCCTTTCCACTGCACTAATCTTCCACACGTTTAATTTAAACCTCTTCAACCATTCTGTTGTCCATGAAGGTTGTCAAAAATGAATTAATCTAGCTATGGACTCTCATTTAAGCAGGTGGACTTCAGTCAGACTTCCATATTGCTAAACTTTGGCTTAGTATGTACTGTAAACTTTGTTCAAATATAAGAAACTGAAAGAACATGTCATTTTTCATTTTAAAGCAATTCCCCTTTGAAGCGACAGACTTTACGCCACAACATTTTAAAATAGAGGTACCTCAAATTGGCAGTCTAAACTCAGACTGCAAATGTTGCTTAGACCTGGCCCAAGTCCCAGACATGGGATGGTCCCCTCCATCTCATACCTTCCTCACAGTTTCTCAGAAAACAGTTGCATGTATTTAGAGCTCCAAGACAGGATGCCAATGTTTAGTGCCTCAACAGTCTGGTAAAACAAGCAACAGGGCATTACTTGCCATTATTCTGGTCTCATTTAAAAAAAAAAAAAAAAAAAAAAAAAAAAAATAAAAAAGGAGTATTTTTACTGAAAATGGCACTACTCAATCTTCAGCTACCATAGATAGCCTTGCTCACAATGAAAGTTTTGTAGCTGGTGAAATACTTGCAAATGCAAGACCTCAACTTTCAGTTTTTCTTTTCCTACAGCTGGTTTCGTAAGATTCAAAAACTATCCTGGCCAGCAGCATTACTATACTTTCATCTAGAGGTGCAATAGCAAAACACTCAAATCAATTTTAGTCTCAACCCATTTTACCAGTACTGCAAGATGGGGAAAATATAGGGATTTAAATCATTACAACCACAATCTGATGACAAATTCTTTCAAGTCTTCTCAGGGTCAGCCAAGTCCTGAAAGACATTCTTGCTTCTGAAGTGATACAATCCCTTCCCTGCCCTCCCCCACCCTGAACATCTTGAAGCAGGACTCTCAGAAGTTTCGCTTTTAAAAAAGACACATCATTCCAGCATTAAATCTTGTTCAGGAAAGATAGAGACTCATTTCTTTACCACATTTTCAAAACGTAAAATAAATTTTAGAGAACTACATTTATCTATATATTAAATATTTTAATATAATAAGATTTGCACTCAAAATCCAAATTAATACTTTAAAGGCATGGATATGTCTTTCTCTGATCATCAGGCTGGTGAGAATATGACGGGTGATACATTTCATCCTGAACCTATATACTGGATAACTGGAGGCAGTTACATGTTACATAAATTTGTAACTATTCTTAAATTAAAGAAAACCTCACCCACATAGTACAGCTCTCTTTCAATGACAGGAGATGTATAATAATTAGCCCTCAAAAACTACAAATGGCAAAAGCATTTACAAATACTGAAGTATTCTTTGTGTTTGATCTCCTTCATTATTGTCATCATCTTTTTTTAAAAATGGTTTCTGAATCTCTGTGATGCCATATGCTTTTTTTACTGCACTGTTAAATAAAAGTATTCTTTAGCCCTCTTGTTAACCCTTCTGCCTTTTTTAAAAGAGAAGTTATCAAAATGCTTATTGCTACAAAGAAAAATGTTCCTGGAGGCAACGCACGTAAACAGCCCATAGAGCAGCACTGTACACAATTCACAACTTTCAAAACCTAGCCTCACACAAAGAAGCATGTTTTCCTAGTTCTGCCCAGAGTTTACCTTTGAAAGGCTAATTTAGAAACAGCAATAATTTTAATGTATACAGGCAAGAATAAAATAGCCAAACCCATGTATTCCTTATAGTGACTGGATATATATCACACATCAAAAGCTTTCTGCTTATTAACCAAAAAAACTTGATGAGACTGATGGATCACCCACATCTACGTGAAATGCAGAAAAAAAATCAGTCACAAACATGAGTTTTTAGGAATCTCAACTTGAATGGTTATCAAGAAAATTCTGTTGCAGATAAACCATTTCCCTCCAAAATTGGAGATTCCTGGAAGGGAAGATCCATTAGCCCCCACTGCTTCTGAAGTACTGACCAGAATTTTGTTAAGCAGCTGCAAAGAAAGGTCTACATGACTCAGTAAACTAAATATCAGATGAAAGCTTTGAAAGCAGGACAAGGAAAAACAGATACACTACTGATAGTTGGTAGAAAGCAACCTCAAAGCATTCTTTGAGAATACAAACATCGTTTAGGATACTCTAAAATCAGTTTGTAAGTGACAGCAGGTCAGTTATGGCGACGGAAGAATACAAATGCATAACCATGATCCACTACAAAGCCCCGTCCAACCTGGCCTTGAATGTTTCCAGGGATGGGGCCTCCACCACCTCTCTGGGCAACCCGTTCCAGTGTTTCACCACCCTCATTGTAAAGAATTTCTTCCTTATATCCAGTCTAAACCTACCCTGGTTTAGTTTAAAGCCATTACCCCTTGTCCTGTCACAGCTGGCCCTACTAAAAAGATTGTCCCCATCTTTCCTATAGGCCCCCTTTAAGCACTGAAAGGCCGCAATCAGGTCTCCCCACAGCTTTCTCTTCCCCGGGCTGAACAAGCCCAACTCTCTCAGCCTGTCCTCATAGGAGAGGTGCTCCAGCCCTCGGATCATTTTTGTAGCCCTCCTCTGGACCCTCTCCAACAGGTCCATGTCCTTCCCACGCTGAGGGCTCCAGAGCTGGACACAGTACACCAGGTGAGGTCTCATTAGAGCAGAGTAGAGGGGCAGAATCACCTCCCTCCACCTGC